GGTGCTGGGGGATTGAACCGCGGTCCCTGTGCTTTGTTGAGCTTGTTCTAAGTAGGTGCTTTAGACCACTGAGCCATCTCACCAGCCCCCCCCCTTTTTTTTTAATATGGTTGGATTCAATTTGCTTTTATTTTACCGAGGATTTTGACATTTGCACCGGGAGGGATATTGGTCTATAGTCATTTTTGTTTTTTATTTTATTTTTTTTTTAGTATCTCTGGTTTTAATAATAGGGCATTGGTAGACTTGAGAATAATGTGGGAAGTGATACCCTGTTTTTTTGGCAGATGTTGTGCAGAACTGATACTAAGTTTAGCTTCTCTAGTTTGTCTAAATGTGAAACATTATATGGAAATTATGATAGTAGTTTGCTTTTCATTTGTCTTCTATGTTGAGAATACTTAGGGATTATACAAGTATTGTAGGCATTGTCTTAAAATAAAGCAGCTTTGGGGCCAGGGAGATAGCTCAGTGGAATAAGCAGTTGCCTGGCAAGCGCAGGGACCTGAGTTCAATCCCTGGTTCCGCCAAAAAAAAATAAATAAATAAAATAAAGCAGCTTCATTTTCTATGATTAGCACTAAAGATAAACAGTTGTTTTATTGCTAGGCAAAAAGCCTTTCTCATATTGTTGAGAAGGTTTTTTTTGGCTGGCTGAGGCTACCTTAAGGCGGGTCTGGTGTGACATGTGGAGCTGGGGATCAAACCGAGATTCCCTGCGCCTGACTAGGTTTGCCCATGCAGGCACTTAAACAACTAAACTAACCAGCTAGTCCCCTTTCTTGTATTTTTATAAGTACTATTAGAGATTGTTTTACATACTGATTTGCAGACATGTGAATTCCTTGTTTTTGGTTTTTTTTTTTTCCTTTTTGCAATACCAGGGATTGAACTCAGGACCCTGCACTTGCCAGGCAAGTGCTTATTGTATTGAGCTATCTCCTCAGGCCCTGAACTCCTTGTTAATCACCTCCTGAACATCTATTCTCCCAGAATGGTTTGATGATTCATTTTCAGAGGAAGAGAAGTTTTGTTTTGTTTTTGAGACAGGATGTATAAGATGTAGGCCTCGCTGGATTTCAGTTTTTGATCCTTGGTCTTCTTGCCTCAGCATCCTCAGAGCTGCCATTATAGGCATGTTCCACCTGGCTCAAGAGGAAGAGACTGTATAACCTGTGTTGCTAATAAATTTTAGTGAAATTTTTAAAATACTGTTTTTATTAGGGAGGCCAGAATGAAATGTGCACAGCTTTGTTCATTTGAATTATGTTGCATTTTGTATTCGTATTTCAGAGTTACTAATATATAACTATTTCTTCCAGATCAACGGACAGTGCAGCTGTTTCCAGAGCATTGAACTGCTAAAGTCTCGCCCTGCTCACTTGGCTGTTTTCTTACACCATGTAGTGTCACAGTTTGACCCTGCAACTTTGGTAATGCATTTTACAGTTTAGCCCATGCAGAGATCCTACATTAATCTTTATAACGTAGAACTCTTCATATCAGTTGCGTAGATAGAAAGACTTTCAGTTTTCCAAGCATGTAAGAATAAGTAATGAAAGATAACATAAAAGGTATTTTATTGTGTTTAAAGACTTGATTGGTAATGACTGCATTGTTGATGGTGACCTACCTGTTCCAGACATTCCTAATCAAGTGGCAAATGACATTTTTTTGGTCATTTCTCAATTTGTCTTTTCTGTTTCTTTCTCCATGTCAGCTCTGTTATCTCTACTCAGACCTATATAAACAGACCAATTCCAAGGAAACACGTCGCATCTTCCTTGAGTTTCATCAGTTCTTCCTGGATCGATCTGCAGTAAGTTGTCAAGTTCATATTATCATCTTTACTTCACTACATTAACTTACCTTCTGTTTCCATCTTCAGTCCTATGTTTTCGGCCTTCATTGTCTTTTTGGAAATTGCTACTATATCTCTATTATTTACTACTCTTGACAGATTTTCCTTTTTTATCATTTCTACATTCCTTTTGGGAATCTAAATTCTTTTAGTAGGTTTTAGAAGATACACGCATTTGCTTTTCACATATGCATAATCAGAGTGGGGGAACAATAAAGAGGATGCATATGATGGACATGTATATTGGGGCCCAAGGAATAGTATTTACAGAATTGAACTCTGGGTAGCCATCTTAAAATTTAGAGGGATCGGTGAGATAACTCAGCAGTCTAAAGTGCCTGCTTGGACAAGTGCACGGACCACAGTTCGACCCAACCCCAGCACCATATGCTGCACAGGAAGGGTTGAGCCAGCCACCAAAAAAAAAGTAAAGACACAAATTTAAGTAGAAAGTGGCAGAAAAGATCTTACCAATACTGAAATAAATGGTAGTAGGGCTTTCTTTTACCAGTGGATTTTTTTTTTTTTTTTTG